AACTATTATTTATTTGGAATATATTTCTGTTATGGAGATACGGATTTGATGCCAGCATGGGCTTCTACGCTGTATTTAAATGATAATAGAAATCGTCGCGACTAGAGGTTCAGTTCATTCAATAACAAACCATAAAAGTTACTGCGTAAATATACTTCAATGATAAATCGCGAATAACCTCAAACACAGCTATCCAAAGGTATTCCTTCCTTATATGAATACACAAACAAACCTTGACCTGTTATAAAAAATGAAAAATAGCATCATAACTTACCCGAGGAACTTTGCTCCAACTGGTCCCAACTCCAACACCCTGCTGGCCAGTGCTTCCCCTTCCATCAAGGGAGGCGGATGAGGCGTCCGTTGAGGCCTCACATATCTGCACGTTATCCTGGTGGGGCTAGGGGCGCACCTGGGGGGTACTATCACTCTCACCCCGGAATGACGACAACCACGCATTGCACCACCGCGAGCGTCAACTAAGAAGGAAACTAGGAAACTGTAAGAAAACAAAACTAGTCACTGCGATTGTTCTCTGATGAATAAATGGAATTAATAGGTGTACGGTCCGTTGAGATTGTGTCATCGTTAAAAATTGAAGGTTGTTATTATTAGTTGTGAGTTAACAGATTATTCATGCTTTAAGATGCAAATATACTGGTATTTGTTTGTTTCGTATAACATTCGGTGAAAATAAACTGGATTGTTCGTAAGAAGATCCATGTATAGCAATCAATTTGATATGCGAATGAATGAGTTTTTTTATGAACTGCCTTTCTACCACGATTTTATTTTTAATACACCAAAACAAATCATTTGGTTATTGAGGATATGAGGCAGAATTCTTATATTCTGTATCCAATGATATCGGAGACAAATAGAACGGTTTGGATTATTCTCTGTTGAAAAGTTCACTTTCCGAAGCAATAACCTCGACAACAACACTCTCCTCCCGATGTTAGAGGCAAAATCTCACTTGATTGATGACTGGTATCACTGTTAGAAAAACAGCTCTACAATCGAACTCAAAGAGTTGTTGTGGATGAAGTTGTATCGGATGCTACGGGAGTGTTACGAAGATATAACCGTTAGCCCCTGCTTTTCACCTCGTATAGATAGATAGATTTATTAGTCCTTTGTGCTACATTACGTAGATGGGATAGGTCATATTTCTCAAGTATAATATAAATGTGTAATATTGTGTAAGATTTCTTTTTGGGAAAGAAAGTTCTTAGCTTTCTACTACTCCATCTTGATTTAAGGAAAGAAGTATAGAGTTACTTCCTTCCTTTCTTTGGAAGACTCCCTCATCCTTCTTCTTTTTTTGTATCAAGATGGAGTAGTAGAAAGCCAAAAACTATCTTTCCCAAAAATTAATCACTCCTGAAAAATATAACCCCTTCAATTCATGTAAGATGTAATTTTTATAAAAAAATAACATGACACACATTGTAAAACAAACATATAGATACATATTGAAATTAAAGTAAGAATAGAAATAGATAAATAAACATGTTACGATATATACGTCACAATGACAGTGATCTGACATTAATAACTTCAAGTATAAATTCATCTATTGTGTAGAAACCTTTTTCTGATAGAAACACTTTCAACTGTTTTTTAAAAATTCGAGGTGGCAGTGTCTTCATATCGCATGGCAGTTTATTAAAGAGACGGATACCAGCAAACATAGGAGACTTTTTATACTTTGCGTGATGGTATTTTCGGGTGATGATCAAATAGTTATTCATAAAGGTGCGTATTCACCAAAAAAGGAGCAAGAGCGAACATGAGCAAACATACATGAATGCTCGCTCATGCTCGCTCGTACTCGCTCGTGCTCGCTTTTTTGGTGAATACGCAACTTTAGATTTTAATGTTGTGAGATGTAATGCGGAAAGCGTGAATTCAGTTTCATTTCAGTTGTTGAGTGGGACTTTAACTGGATTGCTAATGATCAAAGTAGAATATTGAGTTGCGTATTCACCAAAAAAGCGAGCACGAGCGAGCATGAGCGAGCATTTGTGTATGTTTGCTCGTGTTCACTCATGTTCTCTCGTGCTCGCTTTTTTGGTGAATATGCACCTTTATATGATAATTATGGACTTCCCGATCTCGACTCTAGGTGTCTCCTACTTTCATGGATATACGTAAATATTTTTAGAATGAACAACAGGCAACAGTATTTCATTTTGACAAAAAATCTCTTTAGATGTCGTTCTGTAATCTAGATTGGAAATTAGTCTCAGTAATGCTTTCTGTTTTATGAAAATTATGTCCACCTCAGTTGCTGAACCCCAAACAGCAATTTTGTTGTAAATAATGGACTGAAACTTGGCGAAATGAACTGATATCGGTGCTTCAGTATATAATTTATTCTCAAGGGATTTAAGGAGATGTGAACTCTATATGTTCTTGCCAAGTGGAATGTGAGTTCATTATTGTTAACTTAAATGAAATGAATACAAAACACTTTCGTGTAAATACCACTGGTATATTTTATATATATTGGGTTCAAACCCGAAACTGGTCGTATAAATAAAATCTACCAGTGGTATTTAGACAAAAGTGTTTTTATTCATTTCATTCAAGTGTTCGTAAATTACCATATAGTAAACAAATCATCAATCACACATATTCCATTATTTTTCTTGATAATTTTATTGAGCTTGTTTATGCCAATGATTCATTCCAGAAAATGAAATTGAAATCATGTAGGCTTCGAGATGAATTTTCAAATTCCATACATACATTTTTTCCCAGGTTAACTGTTCTGGTTAACAATTCCCGTAACACCAGTCATAAAATTCGTGTAGGACTGAGTTCACAAGGTTATGCATTTCTTCCGTTGTTTTACTTGAAAGAATAATGGAAGTGTCGTCTGCGTAAAAGTATATCGCATCGCTACTCATATCATTATGTAGATCATTCACATATAACAGAAAAATTAGAGGACCGAGTAAATACACTACCTTGAGGTGTCCCGTTTGTTACAAGGAATTTATCGGACATTATATCATTCTGCTTCACCTGGAAATATCTATTTGGTGGGAAATACATTATGAGCTGATTTATGTTTCCTCAAATACCAACCTGATAAAGCTCATCTGATACGAATTTAATATTCAAGGTGTCAAAGGCTCTACTCAAATAAAAAAATTAACCTATCACAATGTTTTTTTATCCATTAAATCAAGTACTTCTTGTACAAAGTTGAACGTTGCAGTTCCTTTCATTAGTGTCATTAGATCGAATATTTCCAAGTAATAATTTATTTCGCCAGATATAATTTTTTCAAAAAATTTTGAGAATATACTCATTATTGATATGATATTCAGCTGTTTGTTATACTTTTCTTTCCGTCCCAAAAGTGTCTACCTCTGCTCAGTTATATTTTAACCACGGTATTCAAGCTATTTTCGACATTTCTACAGAGTTTATACGTTCAAGCTTCATTTAAAAAAATATGCAATATTGATCTTTGGACGTGACAGAAAGGGAGCTCATCAAACCTTATTTCAGGTACGTATTGAAAATGGAATACTTCAATCCCTGAACGGGATCAAAATGTAGGTTCGTAATTCGACCCAGAACTCCGATTTACAAGACATTTTAGCTACCTAAATCAAGTTTCGCATAATGTTCTTCGGTAACTGTTTCCTAATCGATATCTACAACACGAAGTTGAAACTTAGTGCTGTCAATCTTGTCAAAAATGTTTTACTGTGACAACACTTATGTACCTGATTTGAGAAAATTGGATGCTTTTCTTTGCATTTTCTCACTAACACCCACATAATCTTAGCAACTCGTCAACCTGATTCTTTACTGCAAAAGCTCAAAAAATTTACCACAAATAATAGTCTGACCAAACGTTAATTCAATGTTTATATGAAAGTAGCTGTTTCAGGAGGACTTTCTTTCAGTTTGTGTCTGAAAGTTACTTATTTGCATGATCTACACATCCATGTATAGAGTTACTTATTTTCAAATTGAGTACATCCTTCCTTTCTTTGGAAGATTCTCTCATCCCTTTATTTTGTATCAGATAGAGTAGTAGAAAGTCAAAAACTTTCTTTCCCAAAAAGACAAAATGAAATTGAATCATTCCCCTATCTTAAATATATTTTTTTATGTGGAAATAGGTTATTATATTTGTTCATATCCATGCTATTTTTTTATACAGTTTATACCTAAATTCTAGTGGAACTATTAGTTAATGAATAGGTAGAAGGTCAACTATTTCAAAATGTTACTATATGAAGCGCCAATCAGGTTGTCATATATCTTTTATGTTTGAGTTATATTTTTTTCGATTGATACGAGGCATATTGTTGAATTCGCACGATTTGAACTGGGATTACCATCATGCTTGCAGACCCTTATAATAATGATGATATGTCTTTCTTCAGCGTTTTTTCAAAAATATCAAGTTGATGAATAATGGATTATTCATATAAATGATGACAGGCAAAGTTTCAGCTATAATAGCTAGTTATGAACCCAACCTCGAATGGAGAGTGTATTTATCATATCTTGAGTTCATATCAAAGAAAAGCATAGACGAAGAGAGTAGTGAAAAAGAAAAAAAAGTTTAATTTTAGTGATAATGAAAGCACCTATCTGAGTACACAGATCAAACAATTCGCATGAGACAACATTTTGTAAGGATAGCCTAAATAGAAATATATAATATAAATATTTTTCAATAATATTTGTCAATTAGGTAGAGTTGTTTAAAAATATAGAATGAAGAAATAATTAATGACTTAAATAGTAAGTGAACCTCAGGTCTGTATCGAAGGAATTATATTGTTATTGACATGAATCGCTAAGGATTCGCACACCTTTCACACACCTTTCACTTATGGGACCAAACAACATAACCTGAGATTTTTTAGGTTGATGGTCAAGTTATGTCCATAAGATACGTCATACATGGTTTGAAGGTTTCTTTTAACCATCAGTAACTAGTGTGAGGTCTGTGAAATTCAATGAACAATACATTTATGTATTATCAGCGTGGTGATGCATTCAACTGCGGTAGACAAGTTCATGAAAGTCGCTGACATGAATTGCAAAATGGAGGGGTCTAAGAATAGTACCCTACGGTACACCAAAGTTTTTAGAAATTGAAGTTGAGCGGTTACTAGCAAGGTGATCAGTTTGGGTCTATTCAGTAATACCGCAACCAAAACCAACCCATTCCAGTTCCCTACACAATATGGATGATTCCGAAATGTCAGATAGTGAGACAAGTGTAAGTTTCTTCGTCAGTTGATTTGAAAATATCTATGACTGGAATATGAGCCGTGGTTATGCTATAAAAGGATCGAAATCCCGACTGAACGAAGGTGATCCACGTGATTTCGCTAACATAGTATGTGATTAGTTCTTTGATGATCAAATAAAAGCCCTTGAAATGGGCTGATGGTCTGATGTCAGAAATACTAGTGAGCTCGGGAATATTTTCGGAGAAAGGGGAACTTACTAGTTTAGATGGCATAATTTAAAATAGAAGTTATATACTTCAACAAGCCGAGAAAAACTAAGTGCCACATTCGGCAGAAATAGATTTTTTGATTTATATTTCAGAGACCGAAGAATCTACTCATATCACATTAATTTTGGGAATTATATGTCATAGTTATAGATATTATTGGACATGATAGAGATAACGCACCCTACATCTACATCTACGTACTCCAATCTTGTAGTGAGAAACTATTCTAAAAGCGAGTTCGATGCGTCATAATGAAATCTGCAAATTAGGTATATCATTGCTTGGGTTCGGGGAAAACAATCTGAATTGCTTTCAAGAATTGAAATTACTCATCATTGAAATCTTTATTACACATCAGTATCAAATATAATATTAAGTTGATCCTATTTTACAGTGATGACGATGTTTGTTGTGAAGTTTATCGTTAGTTCTCTCAGTTCAATTACTAGAAAAAAAATGAATGAAAGTGAGTGTGAGAACTGAGCTAGGAAAGAATGTGAACTACAAAAAAAACAAACATTTTCAGAACTTCACACTTGGGCATCTGAGGTAAAAGGCGACATGACACACGAGTGCTCTTATCAGCGAAATAATCAAAATACATTTTATGTATTTTCGATGATTTCTAATAGGTTTTATGTTTAAGAACTGGAAACAAAATGGATTTCTGAGGAGTACGAGCCTTAGTAGTGAAAATATTAGATAAAACGCCGTTGATGTCTACCTGGGGCGATGCACAAATTAATTCTATGGAAGCTTGAGAGAAAACATTCACGGTCAAATATCAAATATCGAACCAATATCTCATGGTCGAAGCTCTTCGTGTTTCTCATATATATTGTTCCAAAGATAGATGACCTACAATTGAAGGTTTCCGTTGATTTTGCGTTCGTGAATCATACCAAGTTGCTTGAAATATTTCAGTTTATGAATTATCGAAAGATATTTCCATCATCTACAACTTTCTGCTCAATTATCAATGTAACTAGTAGTAGAGCACTGGTCCACAGTTACTTAGTACTTAGTACATTACTTTTCTTTTAAATACTGGTAATGACTTTCTACGACTTTCAAAAGAAAGTAAATACCATTTTGTCAGATGCGTTGAAAAGAAAAGAAAAAGAAAAGAAAAACAAAATGTGTTTCCCAACAGATGAATCCATTTACAGGACAATATATAATATAATGATGCAGTATAAATAAAGGCTACTTAACATAAATATATAACAAAAGATTGATATATTGAGGCTTTGACAAATTAAGAAATAAATTCTCATATATGATAGAATTCACAAAAAAGATGACATTTTAATTATTTACTATTTGTGAATAACATGAAATGAAGACAATATGATGGTTCAATGTTGGATAATATGGATCGAAATTAATATCGCATTGACTGCAGTAGGTATTATAATTTTCATACATCAAACTTATAGAAGACACTTTTCCAAGGTTGGATCTATTAAAAGAGGTATAGAAAGTGATCTGTCTACATGTAGTAGCTTGAGGTACGTTGAAGTTAATTGGTTCTAGTAACGAGGTGGAGTGGTTAGTTCCTTCAGCAGGGTACATGCCATCAGTTCTAAATGCGAGAAACTTCAGAAAACGCCTTTGCACATTTTCAAAGGTTTTCCCATGTACATTGTAGAGAGGATACCAAATCAATTCAGCATACTCTAACTTGGAGCGAACGGGAGATGTATGAAGTATGGTTAAGGCGGTAATATTGGTAAATGATTTACAGTTGCGCAGAAGAAAGCCAAGCATTTATCTAGCCGATGCCGCGTCAGTACTGGTGTGGCCAACAAATGTCAACCTGCTGTTGAACGTCATCCCTAGATCTTCAACAGCTCTTTCGCAAAGGGGTATTTCATCCTCGAAAGTATGAAAATACCCTATAATCTTTATTATCAGGTCTAATTGAGATAATAGCAGCTCTCTAAACTTGTGATAGAGGAAAAGATCATCAAGTCGTCTGCAAAAAGTAATTTGCCACACGGAAGCTCCGAGGTGAGATCATTTATGAGATGAGGAAAAGCAGGGGTCCCAAATTGGAGCCTTGTAGCACACCGGATGGTGATAAGTATGGTGCAGACGCGAATCCATTATGAAAAACAACATTGGTTTTGTGATACAAATATGAGCGTAGAAGTTGAGTTAGTGAGAGATTTGAACCCATTTGAGCTATTTTCTCTAGTAAGATGGGGATCAGGGGGATCTATGTTTACAAAATAGTTCATTTGAGCAAGTACTGAAGGGGTTCATCTTAGATTTCATAGAATGCTGTCACAATTTCTCTTCCATTATTACTAGACGAGCTTTTCAAATTGTATGTGAATTTTGGCTTTTTCAAAAAGACTATATTGTTTGGTGTAGGGAGGAAATTAATTCATTGTAGTCAGTTTTTGTGATATAGTGAACTTTCAGGTAATGATTGTTTTTTGTTTCGCGATAGAAACCACCAATGAAATATCATCTGACGTGATAAATATCATGGAAAATATAATTAAATACAGATTTCATTTGACATGCAAGTCAGACCACTTACTTTTTCCAGTGAAGCTTCCTGAAGCATCCCCAAAAGGAAAACCATTATTAGTAAACACACAAACTCATTAGTGAAATCGAAAGTATGCAATGAAACTAAAAGGAAGATTGTAATGCATTGTGAAATGATTCTGAAAAATATTTCTCATCTAATTATTCAAAAAAATGTTTATGCTTTAGAGAGTCTGGAATAACCGATGTACATAGGTTCATAATTATGATATGAAATATTAACAACAGCAGTATCATAATGAAGTGCAGTTTTTGTTCTTGACTAAGAAGGTGTGTATCTGAAAAAGGTATTTGAGAAGTTTTTTATTTGCCTAGGAGCTGTCTGCCTTGTACCTGAATTTTTTAGAATTTAGAGAAAACACTGAAACCTCATTGGTTTTTTGCATTTTCATGACAAACATTACACCAATCATGATACTTCACTATAAATAACAAGTGTTCCAAAAGGTACTTCCGAACTTTGACTATTGATGAAGCTACATCTGTCAAATTAGTAGTTATTTATTCAATCTGTTTTTCGAATAATAATGAAACGATGTGATATTCGTGCACACGTGCACTGGTTCACTTAACAATTGATTAACACCCGTACGTCGACACAACGCAAGATCTGACAAAAACATCGCCACTATCTGTGAGGGAGTGCAGGAGAATCCGATGTAGTCGATTTCGCGTCGCTGACAAGAACTCGGCCTTTCACAGACCACAACTTGGCGAATTTCGCGTCGTGACTTGGGCCTGCACCCGTAAAAATTCAATTGACTCAGGAACTGAAGGTAAACGACCATAGACAATGAAAAGTGTGTTCGCTAAATGGACTCTAGAGCAGTTGGCAACTGACCCTAATCTTCATCAAGAAATCATCTTCAGCGTTGAGGCCCACTTCTGGATAAATGGGTACGTGAACAAACAAAATTGTTGGATTTGGAACGATTCCAATCCACATGTGATCCAGGAGCGTCGAAAAATTCACTATTTGGTGTGAATTTTGACTGGAGACGCAATTGGTCCCTATTTCTTTGAGAACGCCGTTGGTCAGGCCAATACTGTCAACGGCAGGCACTATATAGATCGATGATTACCAACTCTGTTTGGCCTGAATTGGATAATCTGGACACCGTCGATATGTGATTTCAACAGAATGGCGCTACGTGTCACATAACTTATGCCACATATTAGATTTGAGGGCATAGTTATCCCACGTGGAAATGATGTGAACTGACCACCGAGATCGTGCAATTTGATTCCGTTAGACTTTTCCTTGTGGGGTTTTCTCAAGTCTCAGGTGTATGCGAATAAGCCAGATAATCTCCTCTAACCCAATCATCAATGACTGATCTCTCCATGAAGGTACCTCCCAAATGTATGTTTTCAGTACTTGTTATGTTTCTTATCGATCTAATACTGTCCTGTTACCATATATTCTGGTGATCCCCACATGTGGATTTGGCTGTCCTTTCTACGCCCAGAGTAGAGTCAAACCATTTTGTTGGACTTTCGAACAATTCACTGGAGTGAAGAATTCATCAAAAAAATCTGATTTGGAACTCTGTATTTTCAATTTCATTTTCGTCTATTATAATTATTTTCCACCTTTTTGCTTTTACCAATAGCTTCAAGGTAACACTGTGAAAATAAAATATAGACCACTATTTATTACTACCACAATATAGATCAACTTAGTTTCTCAGTAGACTAAGATTCAAATCTTCCTTTTAGTTCAACTCCTATTGAAACAATCAACTCACCCTATATTAATGGGATGTCGTGCTATATCTATATTATCCGATGAGTATTTCTTAATGTATTCGACGTAGTTCTGAGTGACGTGTTCTGGACTGATGCTATCCTCGATATGCTGAGGCGGAAGAATGTTACTGTCTCCACTGGAAACCATCCTGTTGGAGTCTATCCTTTCGTCCCTGGTGACATCTATTGGTAGGGAATCGTCACCCAGTGATTTCATTTCATCTGCTGTGAGGTATCTGTAGGTTTGGTCGCCTAAGACCGTGTCCTCACCTGCAAAGAAGTTTGGTTATAATAATGATAATAATATAATAAAATATAACCGGCTCGTGCAGAATTATTAGCAATTATTGATTGGATGATTTGGTATCAATGGGTATTTATAAAATTTTTCATCCCGAAAATAATGTAATCAGAATTTATTGTATTATCATCCTGCCTCTATCTTTAATAAAAAATATCAGTTTCAAAATGAGACAACACTTTGTAGTAGATGAACTACATATTGTTTGGGTCCTATACAAGAAACGGCATATATTTTTCAATTTATCGGTGTAATACATAATTTGAGTGATTATACTGCTATTACCTTGTAAAAAATGTGACTGTTTTTTTTAGTCAAAGAAAATTCAAAATTCCATAGTTTGGAATATTTCCTCAAGATAGACATCATGATCGTTGTTTTCATTCTCATTAATAGTAGTCAATTTCAGTTCGAATTAGGTTATATTGAATTTTGGAGTTTGCAATAGATATTTCCAAAACATTTAGGTATTTTATGAAAGTTCTATATTTTTGGACAATAATCGCTAATGAATGCTACATGAGCTAACAGTTATGAAAGGGTTGGAAAAAGCTCATTAGCCAGCAAATAAAAATAAAAAAATATAAAAAGCATTTAGTGTTGATATTTATTTCTGTTGGTACAGTGATTCAATATGTTCCAAAACTGCAATAATTGCATTATTTGATATGGACGTTGTGATGCTACTATAATAGAAAAACCGAAATAACAAAAGGTATATTTCCCATATTTTTGTACCAAATCTTTCTATATGCATTAGATACTGAAACAGTTAATGATTCCTGATATTTTTTAGTTATCGAACAATGTAATGATCATGAAAATAATTAATGTTTTTCATTATGGCGTTAGTAACAGCACGATTGGAAGAAACACTCAAATGCCTGTAGGAGATGAACCTCAAAATGATCTTTCAACCCTTCAATATATGGATAAATAAAAGCACTGGAACTTTCATGTCTTACCTCCGGTTCGGATTTCGCAGAACATAAATTATTATGAACTATCGCGGAAGTTAATCATTGAGAAAATATATACGAGATGGGTGCTTATTTCAATATGTAAATGAAATCACTATTCCTAGTGCGAAATTCCAGAGAAAAATAGCTATTATTCCAAAAATTTGACAAAATGAAAGGTAGTTAAAAGATAACTGCAATAAAAATTGTTGCATGAAGGTATATAGATCGAGAATAGAAGTGTTTGCAAAGAAACTGAAAGATAAAAACCCCTTCGAAACAATTACGTTCAAATGAATATTGAATTGCAAGAGACCTTATGAATTGCAGACCTTATCAAAGGCGAAACGGCAACGATGCGTTTTTCGCAAAAGTAAATGAGTTTGGAATTGTTGGGGAAACTGGAAACAATAATTATTACCCGACAGGAAATACCGCCAGTAGGAAAACAATTGTACAGAAAACTGAAAGTATTGAAGGAATTTATAGGGTCGTTTTTGTTCACCCCAATGATATTTACAAAACATTACAGTTTCGCCAAAAGTGCTATAGTTTAGACAATGTTGGTTGAATTATGAAAAATAATATTTTCTCTCTAAAAAGGAGAATGGGGCCAAATCGGTAAGGCGTGTTAAGCCATGTACCTGAGTGTCGCTACCTGACGGTTAGTGGCCGAACTGAGTCCTGTCGGTGACGAAGAAGAAGCAGCCGTTAAAGATTTCTGCTCTGAGCTTAGGATTAGATTTTTTTCTGTATTTCACTGAGGGGGTTTTGCTCATTTGTAATTGTTTTATTAGAGTTACAGTGCTGTACATATAGTATAGATAATTATATCATTTTCTCTATGTCTCATGTGAATTAATTTTACTGAAAGAAACATTGAATACCTCTATTGCATAATGACAAATATTATATCTCGAATGAAAACTACAATGAAGGTGGAACCGTTTAGGTTAGGAGGGGCAGAACTAGGTAGATGGTCTATAAAAGTTGCAGCGCTGTAGATGAACTTGACAAATAATTTGTATGTGAGTTTTTTCTGCAAACAATTTGTTTAATTACAATTCATAATACTGTGGATTGAAAAATGGTTTTTGAAAAGCTAATTTGTTCAATTCCTCAAAACAATAGCATGTGTCTCCAGAACATTTTTGATTGCACGAATATTGAGAAACAAAATTTAACATTTTTGAAATATTGGAATCTGGTTATGATGAATAGGTATTATGATCCTTTTGAAAGTTACTGATCATACCTGAATTAAAAACGATTAACTGTTGATGCTTTCAAACCTTAGCTGCCATGTTTTACCCCACTCCCCCCAATCCAACATTTCCTTTGAACCAATCTTATAGATCGCAATAAATACTGCGATCATATCGATGGAAATTGCTTTCATAATACAAGAAAAGTTGAAGAATATGTTAGAACTGACCAATATTTGATGTAAAGTCATTATAACGTATACAAAAAAAAGTGATGTGAAATTTCCACCTGTCGTTCTAATTGTTGTGTTCTACTTGTAAGTGTTTTTGAATATATGAAAAATTAGGTTCATGAGATATTCAAACACGAAAAAAGTTTCTGTAATTTTCAATTGGGCGAGACTGAACTTTGTTATTATTTCAGGAATTTCCTTATTCAATCGATCACGATACTCCTTCGTAAAAAATCAGGGGTGTCCAGTGAAAAAAATAACTTCCTTATAATCTACAGAATTCATATTGAATATCAAATATTGATATTGAATCACTGTATCAACATACTGATTGATGTTCGTATGCTGATGTTAGACTGGTAGGGGTATTCATCCACTGTTTTTGATATCGCAACTTACGATTGATAATTGATGTACCACAGAAATACGGCAGATAGATGTGTCGTTCATGAAGGGCCGTACCGAATCCCTCCAAAATATCTTCCCCTGTTGTTGATGATTAGTATATTTTAGTCGTATTTTTTTATTGCGGAGTCATGACAATGAAGCACAAGAAGCATGAAGCAGTCAGGTTGAGAATTGCTAATTATGTGAAGATCTGTTTCTAATTCTAAACATTATAAGTTTATTTCTGTGAACTTTATTTCCGAGTGGTGCGAAAATTACATGTTTTCTTTGAAGGTCGTTATGAAAAACTACCATGTAGTTGAACTTTTTCTATTTTTCTAAGTAAAGATCACAACTATCTACTACAATAGAAATCACTAAATACAGTCTATAAGCTATTGATGAACGTGTAAGGCTTGATATATAGGGTGGTCAAACAAAACAAACCTGTTCTCGGATTCTATTTCAACATTTTGGTAAATTGCAAGGATGTTGCTTTCGCTTGGAGTGGTGAGAACTTAACAGTTTCTTCCACCCCCAAACGATGATGATAGTCATCAAAAGTATTTTTATTCCATCAAGCGAAATGTGTTGAAGTCTTGAAATTCTCTTTACAGTAGTCTTGAAATGATTATATTCTGCCTGACAATTTTGCAGAAATGATTGAAAACAATAGTACCAATTGTTAAAGAACTAATAAACTTCAATTGTTATAACTGAAAATATTTGATGCTACATTTGAAACAAAAAATTTATGATAATGATAATAATAATAATAAGCCGCCGATTCCGGATTGGTTTGTCGAGAGGCGGACCGTTCTCATCCCAAAAAGCGGAGATTTCTCAGTTCCTAAGAATTACAGACCGATAACATGTTCGAATTCGTGTTATAAGTTGGTTACAAGCATCTTAAACACACGAATACTCACCGCAGTTGACCGAGTGTTCGAACGGATATATGAGCAGAGAGGGTCGAAGAGAGGAGTCGCTGGATGTAAAGAGAACCTGTAAATCTATGAAAGACATATTTTATTACAGAGTTGTCATTGATATTTCTTAGTAATTTTTGCATTTCAATGTACTGATGAAAAAGCAAAAGACATACAAGATACTTTTTAATATTGATTATGCCATATTATGCATAGAGTGAATTTGTCAAAAATAGGATCCTTCACTTAGAATTTATAACTCACCATTTATATGAAAATAAACCACAAGTCACTCAGCTGGGAAGACTGCATATTTTCAACAACGGTATATAATTCAAAACTGAAAATTATTATTGAGCAACTACATATTTTCACTCTATCTTGGTTACTGAACTCTGGAACATGAAACATACTCCAAATATTTTATTATTTTCAGTGGGTTTACGGTATTTAATTTAAATAGCAGTTAAAAATAATTAGTATTTATCTCACAACAAGAACAAATTCTCAGCTGTGTTAAATTGTCTGAAAAATCAACATTTTCAGAGCTTATTTACATTCCCAAGGAGTTCATGAAGTGAAATATCTCGGTGATGATGTCATGTTATTGCAAAATCGATCACGGACTGCGTTCTATAGAGATATTCGTCAGATCATTAATTGAATATGATACACTCGTCGATGGTCGAGTTTGGAACCTGTAGCGTAAAATCATGCTATTGTAAATACTTCTCACATACCAGAACTTTTATTCTGGTATGTTCTGTTCTGTATTTCTGTACAGTTTCTCGACGCGCATTTCGCTAGGTTAGGTTAGGTCCAAAGTGCCTGGGTCTATTCGACCCTCCACCGCAACACGCAAGAGTTTATTGTGACTCACACCTATTCACATTCGCAAAATAAACCTAGTTTTTCAACGAAGCCGATTAGTTTGTATCGTGAGTGGTTTTTCAGGTCAGATAGTAAGAGTACGGCTCTGCCGAACTCTAAAAACCTGATTCGGTCCTCAGCGGGGCAGGCACAAAGTAGGTGCCCTGCTGTTTCAGCATTTTCCAAACAGAGGCAACACACACTGTCTTCCGACAGTCCCAGTCTCTGTATATGATGATTCAAATGACAGTGACCTGTAAGAAGGCTTGTTAGACATCGTAGTTCTTTCCTACTGTAGTTCGAAAACTGTTTGGTATCAAGCTTCAAAGGGTGAATAAACGCCTTGGAGTGAATTAATCCTGGAAAATTCTGCCAGAAGTCCAATG